CACTTGCCACTATACCGCTACCTGCAGATTTCATATAGGCTACAAATTGCTTCTATTCGCTTCTGGTCACTTCCATGATTATTTTTTAATTCATTTTTTTTTCTTCAATTGTAGATGTCATATTGTCTCTACCCTTTGCCAGACCTTATTTGAAATGGATCTTCTCGTTGCACGAGATAACATCAGAATACTCTCTAGTGTGTAGAAGTTAGTGTTTTCTATTTAAATAACGCTGCGCTTTTCCTAATCTGATTATTTTTTTATACTCCGTGTGACGTCCATATGCTAAATTAGCATCCAAGCTCAAGTACTTCTGAATAAAAGCTGAGTGAATGATGCTAGAAGAGATTAGTGCAAGAGTCTATCTTATTATACTGCTGCCGTAGCCGTAAATAAATAATCAAAACAATGTGGAATTGTAGCAGTCTTCAAAGGCTTGGGCCATGTTTTCCATTTGGAGTCTCGCTTTGTTGGATTAGAAACGGGTGATAAGCAGCCAATGTGTTATGCATTCGGCTTTTCTCCTTCATAAAATGATACGAAATGCATAAACCCATGTAGGTAATCAACAAGTACTCGAATTGTTGGTTGGTTTGAGTAATACCTGTAATGCACTCTGAATATGCTGTAAGCATTCAAGGTAATTCTCCTTTAATTGAGTAAAATGTACCTGTATCGCCCTAGTGATATGTTCGCTCTGAAGAATCTCCTCGGTTTGGACTTCATAGCCGATCATTATCGCAATTCTTATCACTTGCCCCTGATTGCCCTTTTTTCTGACTGATTCAGTAGGATTTTAGACCTCATATGTCTCGTACGAGGCTGCTACACGCAGATAGAGGAGGTAATAGCTTCTTGTGGAGTGTACCGTTGTTGGGTTGATAAGCTGTTCTCAAGGTGGCTGCTTCCCGACATAGCGAAACCTTTTGTTGCTGTACTGGAGAGTAGTTTTAGGCATAATAGATGAAATCGTTGATGTTCTTAAACAGCTTAATCGGATTCCAGTAGCTATACGCTCCTGGATACGTACAGCTTGCTTTCGGCCGGCTTTTTTCGATAAATATTGCATTACGGAGTTGGTAGTTGATCTGATAAGTTACGCTCGCTGCTATACGGCCGCTTTTTTGGGGCTCAAATGATGAACCGATGAGATAGAATCTTGCTTTGATTCTGTTCGATGTTACGGAAGGGTATTTTTATTTCCTATTTCATCCAATGTTTCATCGAATTTCTTGTTTTATATTTGTGCTTCTACTATGGCGATGATTAATGTTGATGCATTTCCATCGAACTAGTAGCAAATTTTCAACTTTGTTTGAAGGTATTACTTACCTCTTCCGCTGTTAACTGGGACCGAAGCATACCCATACAGCCAGCCCTTCAGTTTGAATTTGTATATAAGTTTGAAATACATGTGCTCTTATTTTTCGAACCATTATAAAGTATTAGTTTCAAAAGCTCTCCGTCGAAGTTTCAATGTATTCAAAGTTCTTCGCACCAATGACCTTAACACTTTGCTTAGGGCTTTTAAGGTTTACGTTCCTCCCATTTTGGAATGTGGATCTACTGTTTTTGCGCCCTATAAGAAGAAAGACATTTATACTTTGGAAGGAGTACAAAATAGTTTCACTCGTAAGCTCATGATTCGGAGTCATCGTTTAAATTATAAAGAAATACCCACTGGAACTGAGCGTAATAAGATACTAGGACTGAAATCTCTCGAATGGAGAAGGAAAAAATTCGATATACTTATGGCATACAAAATTTTGAATGGCATAACTATTGTGGATGTTTCTAAGTTTTTCACAATTGTGTTTTCCAATACGAGAGGTTCCTCAACTAAGATTTCAACCATGCCAGCAAGAACTCAAATTAAGTCGCAGTTTTTTAGTAATAGAGTTATGTCTACTTTTAATTCTCTTTTACGTCGAAATCTCATTCCCCTTAGTTATAGTACTTTCAAGAAATCTATTAATAAGTTGATTTGATGTAGTTACGTTTAGTTAAGAAATGGTCATTATTGTCAACTTTTATTTCACATGCTTATGCATAGCATGTCCGTAAATAAATAAATAAATAAATGTGCTAATAGGTAGAAACTATGTGTCAACAGCATGAGTTGTACCTCATAATTACATTCAAATGCCTCTGTAATTCTTAGCTTCAGTGGGAAGCAGGGTTCATCCGGAACTTGCTCATATCGTTGGGTATCTAACATTTTCCATGTTGCGTAATGAAATAAGTGTAGATGAGGTAATAAGCTGCGAGGGGGACCGAGAAAAATGCTGCCATTTTGGAATTTGTACCCAAATGCGGAGGGATTCCTGGCTATGAGCTTAACAGGTTGCCTGATCGTCATTGCTGAGCTGACCTAAGCGTTTGGTGTGATTTGTTTATTGTTTATTGTATTTGTTTTCAAAAAAATGCGCGTTCAAAGGATCAAGTAGTAGTCTGTTCCATCATAGAAGCAGTTATAGAAGCAGTAATTTCAAATAACGTATGGATCTGTTGTAGAGGAAGAGGTCTTGTAGAAGAACCTGGGTGGACTTCAGCTCTCGATTCAGTATCTCTTTAGAGCTTTGCCTTAGTTATAACTGCGGATTGCAAACACCATCAGAGTCGAGAACTTTGCCCATTTTGCCCATAACTGCTTGCCTCAGCATGACTGCGCCCTTTGGCTCCTGAACAGCAAATTTTCAGGTTATAATAAAGGTTTTTTGGCTTGTTATAAGGATCACGAGGCTTGGAACGCCTCTTTTCGTATTTTTTCAACTGTCGTAGTAGGAGGTTGTAAAGATTTAAGAACCCGGACGAGATGACGACTATACCAGTGAGCGCCATCTATACACCCTTCCTACCTATATTATCACACTTTTATTGGACATGAGGTTTCTGCTCAGTACTTTGCATCGGCTAATCCCTGCTTTTTTGCATAGTTGTTCTTAACCATGTGATTGAGCCGTTCCAAGTAGAACACGTCACATATTGCATTGTCCTGCTTCCTAATCTGGATTTGCGGTTTTGCCTCCTTTGTAGGGAAGGAGAGATAATGCTAGTGATGCTATCATTCTGAGATCCTCAAGAATCTACGGCGAAACAGGATAATTTGATGATATCACTCCACTGACTTGTGGCAGAATTCGTAAATGTTCATTCTAACTCCTACAGTTAACTGATTTTATGTACGAAATTTCCTCCCTACTTTTGAAATTGAGCTGTGGGCGGAGTTTGCCATTACCCACCTCCTGTTGTCCGTTTTATTCCGACAGTGCGACAAGCCTAACCTCTTCAAACAAATTACCTTTTCAGTGGTTGACCTCAATTGAACATCTATTTCCACTTCATTTCCCCTCCAAGCCTGTCTAGTGCTTCTTCCATTCGCTTGATGCGCTGTAGTCTGAGAAGATCGTATTTCGTGAAAGGAATTCAGGAAGGGATAAGTGCAAGTGGATATCAAATCCCAATGCCGAGCGTTTCATCCCTGTCTAATGGGAAGGGTGTAGAAAAAGTAGTAAGAGCTTAGAGCTATCCTCTCTTTGTCGTGGTGACCAAAGGTTACACACCGTTGGGTCATATTTCTCTGCGGCTACTCATCTACCCATTAATCTGCTGTCTTTTAATGAGTTGTCCGACGGAGAAGCCTCGCTTTCAGGAATGAGTGAGCTTTTTTCGAAGCCATTGTGTGCCGTGCCGTTGGTTGAAGGCAGCAAACCCGGGTATTTAGCCAGGTTCTACTTGCAGTCACTTAAAGGCGATTCGTCTGACTCAACAAGAGACTCCTGAAAAGTACTCCTATTTTCGAGTGAAAACCGTGATTTCGAGTTGAAAAAGATATAATGAAATTCTCTTCGAAAAAATTCAATACAGATCCAAATTTCTACCGTATTCCTACTGGTTCATACTTTTCGAACCCCCACTGTTTTATACTCTACGTTTTAGTGGCGTAGTGGTAGTATGAAGCAGCGGTTGTGCTACGGTAGGAATCTGGAGCAGTTTTGACTTTTGTTCTTGTTTATTTCGTGAAAAAAACACATCTTGGATTCTCAATTATCTGTGCGTCAGATGTTTACTTCCAAGATTTTAATATTACAACTGAAAGCCGGAATGATGTTTCTTTGGCCGTCATTGTGATTTTATTAGATGGGCCTGATGGTGATCATGTTCAATTACTTGGTTTACTGCATACTTTTCTTATAACGTTACTCTTTTTATTACTTACTGCATACTCAACGATAGCTTTTTTTCATATACTCCTCGATCTTCCGTCTACCTATCAAACTCAAGCTGCTGTAGGGAGGAGCCCACCAGATGTTCCATGAATTAGATCATAACCCATATCCTGGTCCCAAAGTTCGTCTAGCTCTATGACCACATACATTGCAACTAGACATGGTAGCCGTCTGATGCGGATCTGTTTTGCGATTCCTCCCCCAAGGTAATGCGTATCAGTTGTTCTTAACACCTCTCCTTCTTCCAACGGGAGTCGAACTGATCTTCTTCCTCCCTCACAGACCTAATGGGTAGGAGCACCTGTTGTTGAATGGTGAGCCCGTGCCTCTTTCTGAGCTAATTCTTGATTCATTTTGCCTTTATTTTCTCAACGAAGTGGGAGCGCACCACCGCTCCGATCAGTCTATCTACCTTCATAAGGCGTTTCTGGATGTACTTACGTTTTGCTTGTTTTTTTTTTTTGGTGATGCTTCTTTCTTTTTTATATTTTACCCAACACAAGCTATCTTAAGCGCCTCCCCGTCGCCATTGTGCGAGAATGCGTACTTTGAGCACAGAGTAAATAAATAAACAAATAGATTCAACTTTACTGGTTAGCCTGAGTACCAGCATGTTGCCCAGCAAGCATCTGTCGCGATTTTCCAGTTGACTCGTTTTCGCAAAGAAAAAAGTTCATCACGACAGACGTCGCATTTATTGCTAACACATGTTGCAATTCTGCATTGAACAATTTCTCACAACCCAGATCCAATAAAACTTTGAGAACTGCAATGTTCCCCGAGATTGAGGTTTTTGTAACCAGTTTACAGCGGTCTCGTTGAAGTCAGCCGTCACATTCATCCCTGTTGATGTGTTGTTCCCTTCATCCTGGTCGTTCTTCAGCCGTTTATCCTCTCGAGACTTTCTCATTGTTTAAAAAATTTTAAAAACAGGAATTACAAGGATTAACCTGAATAAATATCCTCGCAGATCCCTCATTGAGGTACACTGCCGCCAAGAAATAAGCGGGTAAGGTCAGCTATCGTCCTCAGGGTAGTTAACATCGGTTTAGGGCTCCCAGTTCAAAAGTTTTGCGGCTTTCCTTCACCCCTTTAAAAGTGGTAGTGGTGGTGGTAGGGGGGGGGGGG